GCTAGAATTACTGCGGTTTGTCTCTTTGCTATTTTATTTTATTTCCAAGTCTTTGCTCTGTCTCTGCTTTACTCCTAGTAAGTAGGAAGGGGCTGCTAAGAGCTCACATTTGGACCTGCGTGTCTCCGTCATCTGGGTGACCTGGGCGGAACTGCCTCTGTGCGATCTGCTCCTTTGGGAAGTTCTCAGAATATAATCTCACTCCGTCCTGTGCTCCGTGGCTCCCCCAGATCCTGGGGTGGTGGGGGGCTGTGCAGATAGATCCAAGCGGACACAGGATGCCAGGTGACCGTGGCTTCAGGAGTAGGCAAGGGAATCTGTCCTGGGTGGAGAACTGTCCCTCTGTGCTTCCCTGCTCTCTGCTGCCTGCAAGGCAGCTGCCACTCCCTGCTGCTCTCACTCTAATGAAGTCCTTCCTTACCTGCACTCCTTTGACCTGCTCGAGAATTCTTTCTTGTTCAGTCAAGAACCCTCCCCCCTGTCCAGGGTGAGGTTTCTCCTAGTGCTTCGCCCAGTGCGCAGGGAGAGGCCTGCCCAGACGCAGCTGCCCGGCCACAGTAGTGCCAAGTAGACGAGCAGAACAGGAAGCATCAAAAAAGCATTCTGGACAGAGGGAGAGGTTGGTTGGTGGAAAGCAAGATCGCGCCTGGTGTTTGAGGAAGACCAGGAGGGAGGGAGGGAGAAGCAGGAGGTGAGCCCTGAGGGTTATGGGAGCCATAGTGCGTTCCAAGGACTCAGGCATTGCATTGTGGAGAAACCGGGGAGCCACGGCAGGATTTGGAGCAGAGAAGTCATGATCTGATTTTTCTCTCCAAAGAGTCACTGCCTTTTGTGTTGAGAATGGACTGTGGGAGGATGGCCAGGGGAAGTGCAGGGCAACCCGTTAAACGTCTACTGTGGGAACCAGAGTAAGGGACGACAGTGTCTTGGGACAGGGTGGCAGTAGTGGAGGAAGTGAAGAATGGCCAGATTCTGCACATATTTCCCCAGTAGAACCGATCTGATGGATTGGACAAAAGGTGAGAGAGAGAGAGAGATTGAGAATGAAGTCTACAGGTTTTGGCCTGAACAGCCAGAGACGTTTATCTGCAGACTGCCGGCATGGAGATGGCTGCTTGGAGGGTCAGGTTTGGTGGGGAGAAAGATGGAGAATCCCATTTTGGAAATGCTGATTTTGAGATGTCAGTTAGAAATCCAAGTGAAAATGTGGAGGAAGGCAGTTGCGTGTCTGGAGTTTAGAGAGGATCTGGCTGGAGTTAGGAATTTTGTGTATATTTTAGGAGCTTTTAGCTAATGCCTGTGGAAGAGGGACTTAGAGCAGTGAATGGGAGCCGTACCAGCTAATGGCTGGCTACAGAGCCCCGAAGGTCTCTTCTTGTCTGTTTGTTTGTTTGTTTGTTTGTTTGTTGTTTGTTTCTATGTATATCAGTGATCTGCAAGTCAGAAGATTGTATTTTTGAAAATGGTTCATTTTCTCAACCTTATGTTATTTTAGCTGCCTCTTAAGTTTTCCTAGGCAGACTAGTGTAATAAGTAGTGAAATAACAATTAGCCTTGGGGAGTGAGTGCAAATGCACTTCATCCCCAGCACTGTTTGGATATACTTGCCTCCTTCGATAGAGGAAAACCTCAGTAAAAATAAAAAACCAGAAGCTTGAGAACAGAAATGTAAGCATGTCCTAGCTATTTGACAGCTTGGTGCACAATAGCTAGTTTACATTAGTCATGAAAGATAAAGCAATTTAGGTAAAGTTCAAATTGAGATACAATTTCATAAAGTAGTGCCCTTTTTTTTTTTCAGATGGGGCATGGGGGTGGGCCTAGTGATTGCAGGCTCCGACATGGAAACACAAAGAGAGAAAGTAATTATGTAAATTGCTTTTTTTGAATGCATTTAGAATTTTTGATTCTTATACTCTAAGTATCTGGAAGCGCATGTAGTTCCTGTTTGGAGATAGAAGCCTTGCCGTAGCCTCCTGGGCAGGCCTGTGGCAGTCCATGCTCCCATGCCTGTGCCAGCAGGCTGGAGAGGTGAGTGGGCAGTCTGCAGGCCTGCCCGTGCACGCATGGTGCTCATTCATAAAACCCAGCGGCGCCGAGGGTGGGTCAGTTCAGAGTGGAGAGAGTGCTCGCACAGCTCAGAGACCTGTTAAGGGTCCATGTCTGATAAATCTCTGAGGAATTAAAGATGTTGCAAAGAATTAGAGGTCAAGCCCCTTGAACTTCTAGTCTCTTGATCCCTTGCTAATTGTGGGAAGTCAGCAATGTGCCAGCATTTGTGGCCTCCTTCTGCCTGGCTGCAGGAATAAATCATGTGTAGACAAAGGCCCTTCATAGCTGCAACACGCTGAAATATCATTGTGTTTCTTAAAATATAAAGAGTCTGTGTTGTTAATAAGTCTAATGAATGGGAGATCATGGAAAGTGCTAGTAAACATTTCCTATGTTAGAACTGTCTGAGTCTTACAGTTTATCCCTCCAAACTGAAATGTCAGACACAGTAATTCAATTATAGTTTAAAGAAATGTTAATACATGCAGACTGTCAAAAACTTGTATATTTGTATGTGTCTTCCATATTTATTTGCACACGGGTTTTTTTGGTTTATCTTTCTTGTATCTTGAAGAAATTTCAGCTAAGAAGTCAAGTTAGACAATGTAGGAATATATATTATGATAGTCTAGAGCTCCCTCAAATTGGCTGCATAATTAACAGTCTGAAGGCAACAGTTTCCCCTGCTGAAAACACAGATTCAATAGCTGGCAATTTCACTCTAGTCCTGTGATCAGAATTTATGTCAGAATGAAAAATAGGTTGTTTCCTGGTTTTTTTAATTAATGAAGGTACATAAATTAAGCATATTTAAACTAATTCTAGATATATTGTTTTTGACTATTGAGTACTTATTTTCATTAGCCAATAAAACTTTAAAGTTCAGAAAATCAAATAAATGTCTGAAAGATTCTATATTGTGTGCAGACAGAAGCAGTATGTTAGTTATTGTAATTTTAAACCAAAACCACTGGGTACTTAAGATTAGATGAGTGTTTTCATAAACACAAGATGATGAGATTAGATGAGGTCTTTTGCTCAGAAAAAAAATGCTTTGCTTGGAAACCTACTCTTAGTTTGGCTGACAATTCACATTTATTAAAAAGAGTTACCTAAAAGCATATTTAAGGAACACTCTTTAAGTGCCAGATTTCATTTATTTCAGAGTTTTGTATAAATACCTGAAACATACATACATACATACATAAATAAATAAATAAATAAACTAGACAGAAGGTTGCATATGGCTTCCCAAAGATGTAATTCTTTAAAAATCCTTCCAGAGGTGGTGATATTTCCGATATTGTCACAAACCAGTGCATGTAGATTAAACATGTGCTATTTTTAGTTGAGTGAGAATTGCTAAAGATTTCCCAGTGCTATGAAGTTGAACTTCCTGGGTGCTGAACGTTGTTAGATTAGCATCTCAGAGCCCAGAAATCTGGGGTATTGCTTCTCCCTGACAACTGCCTTCTGTTCTCTTAACCCTGGTGCCTGAGAGACGTTCTCGCCACTGGAAACTGGAGCAAAAGCAGAAGGCTTGTGGCTCCTGGGGATGTTTTTGACTCCTATCTTTTGACCTGTCTATTAAGAGTTTAGCATTAGCTCTTGACAAATGCCAGAGTTCTTCCCTTTTCTCCCACGAGGAAAGCGTGTTGAAGCTTTGAAATGGCACCATTTTCTTTCTCGTCACGTTACATATTGACTTCTAAGTCTTCCTTGGGCTTGTTGGGAATGAGCAGTGAATGTGTGTTTGTGTGTGTGTGTGTGTGTGTGTGTGTGTGTGTGTGTATCTGTGTGCGTGTGCACGTTTCTGAGCGTCCTGTCTGCGTTTCCCTGTACCATTTCTTTCAGAAGTGGAGAATTTTGCCATGCAGCTTTTAGCTTTGGGAAAATGGTTTATCTGCCGCTATCTAACCAGCGATCCATTTCTGGAATAACATGACTGGCCTAAAATATTAGCAGTGTCGTCAAACCTCCAAGAAGCCTCCATGAAAGTTGTTAAGAACCAGCTTCCTATCAGAGAATCCTGGGTCCTAAGGGGCTTTTTTTTTCCCTTTACCAGAGTCTAAGGTGCGGGGCTCTCAGCTTTAGAACCAAGGCTTCCCATGTAAAGCAATGTTGCTTTAAAGCCTTTGAGGGGAAGGAATATCTGAGCCATCCAAGTACAGCCTCAGATAGGGCTGTGTTCTGGCTTCTGCCAGTGAGCCTGTTCCTGGCTCTGTGACCCTGTTGACAGGGGGTGGGGGCATCCCCTCAGCCGCCCTCTGAGCCCTGGGGTGCCACCAGCCCTCTGCGTCTCCGCATGCTGTGCCAGAGGGCCTAAGGCACAAAGACCTTTACTATGTTCTCACATCGGAGGGTATCTTCTCTATTTTATACACACACACACACACTTTATGTGTAAATACCTCCCTCTTACTCTTTCTTTTTTCTTAGCTTTCAAGGTGATTTTGAACATGGGGGTGTTCTGAGGCCTCCCACATCTCCTTTTGCGTAGAAAGGCCTGTGTGGTGATGCACGCATGAAACCAGAGTCTGTATCTTTTGGGGAAATAGCCAAAGCCACGGAAAACCCTTGCCCTTTAACATACCAGCGCCGCAGCAGCTCCTTTAAGCTTGCAGCCGTCTGTCTCCCCGTGGGGAAGCCGAAGCTTTCAGTAGCATTTCTTCTATGGGGGAAAACTGTTGACAATCGTTTTATTGATGCTAAAAGGAAAAGTAAATACAGAGGCTAGCCCGGGTTTTATTTGGGTATAATCAAGCTCTTCAAAGCCTGAGTCCAAGCTTTCCAACTCAAAGAGTTTTGTCGGGGCCTCCAGGTTAATATAAAGGGGCTTGCAAAGATTTTTCCCTTAGACTGTGTTTTCAGTACCGTGTTGAATTTCCAGAGATGTCCTGCCCTTTCTGTAATTAATAGTGCATTGTGCTGTCTGTCATGCGCCCCAGGTGTGTTGTCAGGGACATGGCGAAGCCTGCTGCCTGCAAAACGCCCAGAAACGCGGAAAGCCAGCCCCACCCGCCTTCACCGTGAGTATGGCATTGGCTTTACTGACCAGAAACGTCGTCTCTCACACACATCACTGGCTATAGATTTAGTCATTCACATTGCATGTGGGAGTAGATAATCTGGCTACTCATGTATGTGTAATAAAAAGGCTACTGTTGAAAGAGGCAGAATTATCTGGAAACCTGAGTTCTGCAGTAAGTATCTTTGTTAAGTGATGTTTCTTATACTGTTTTGGAAGCATAAAACTAATTTGAGGACAGGGACACATTTTTTTAGGGCTGTGGGGTGGCAGACATTGGGTACCTTTGGGATTTAGGAAGTATGTGGGCCAGAGCGTAAGATTTTAGGAAAACAGGGAAGCAGGGTGCAGAGAGGAGAGGAGCATGAAAGTAAGGGAAACATGCAGGATTCTGTGACCCCCCTCACACCGTATTACTTAAAGAGAGTGGACCACCGCGAAGAGTGGATCGCCCATCTAGTTGTGTTTTTATTATTGCAGTCTCTAGTGCAGATGCTCGTCAGCAGTGGAAGGACCAGCACCGGGGGGAGCAGAAAGTAGAGAGGAAACCAAATAAGTAAATTCTGTTGAGAATGTGGGTTTTGATGAGATAAAATATAAAGAGCACTAGAATTCTACAGAGTAGCAGGATATACTCAGTCTTCTGAGTAGAATTACGCTCCTGGTAAGAAAAAGTAAGCATCCCCTTCAAGTGTCTCGGCAGCAGCATGCCCTTGGCATAACCGTCCGCGCTGCGTGGTCGCTCCTGGGGGAAGCGCCCATTTCCCGGGCTTCTCACAGAGCCTTTGAAGGCATGTGTCCTGAGAGTGACTTTCTGTAGATTCCTTTAGCTATCTGACAATTCTGTGAAGTGAAACCAAAATAAGGTGATAACATCACAGAAAGGCAATGAGAAGGAAGTTTTCATAATTCTTTTGCAATGACAAGTTTTTGCTAGCATTGGCAAAGACCGAAATGAGATAAAATATTTAAATGCTTATATTTTGTGTATCACATGCAGTCACAAATAATTTAAAATTATTTATGTTTTAGGATATAAAATTTTGGTAAATAAAGATAAGGAGGCTCTATAGATGGGTTATAGGATTTATCTCAATAAATATTCTTGTATATTGTCTACATTTAATCAGTACTTTTCAAGGAATAAAAGTAACATTAACTTAACCATAGTAAGAATGTTTTATAACTACATTGACAAAAGTGCAAAGTTGGGAGAAGTATTCGTAATGAAGTAGCCATATCGTTTTCTATATATGTTCTTACTGTAGAGCCATTTTCCTGATGATGGAACTTTTCTTGATAATTCACAGAAAACTTAGGATCCCATTCTCCATCTTGTGTTTCTAGGCATTAGAAAACATTCTATTCATATTAGGGTACAGCAATTTCTGGGAACTATAACATTTATTTTTATAATAAATATAACATTGATATTTAAATGTGTTATATTTCACCTGTCGAGTTCCACTTTAACTGGTCCCAGTCATTCCAGTGTCTATCTTAGATTGGAATTATTAGGTGTGAAGTAGTGATTTTCATCCATCCTGACAAGATTTTAGATCATTGTGTTTCTTGTTCTATTTTTATTTTCTGTAATCATGGACATCTGTTGTCATTTACCTTGTACCTCGCAGGACTTCCCTGGTTACCCTCTGAATATGGAGGCTGAGAAGAAGCCTCTTTGCATCCTCTCTTCTGAAAATCCCTTTGCTCACTTTATACTTTTCTAGTTGAAACAGTGAACCTTTCTATGGGGCTTGAAGAACTAAAGTTTGCAATGCCTCCCTCATTTGACTGGTTCTCCATAGGCAGTTGCATTTGTGAGTTGAGCCCCGTGTACCCACATATGGACCTTCCCAGGTTAAGATGAAAAGGGCATCAGAAATAAAGGGGTGTGCGTGTGTGTCAGGATGGGCTTTAGCCTGTAGGTCAGTGTCCTCAAATTTCTGCATCACAAGTGCTGACCTAGAAAAGAGGCAGAATTGAAAACAACAGCATTTATTTGGGTGTCTCAGAACCGCAATTCAGGGAGCAATTCAAATTGCATCCCATTTAGGAACAAAAGTTAAGGGTGTTTTAAAGACAAAAGGGCATGCTCGTATGCATTGTTTATAAATAATTTTTATTGGTGTTGGAAGCAAAAAGTGAATCTGGACTGGATATCCCTGGGTGGCAAGGCTGTCTCTGAACACAGTCTCTTACTGTAGCCAGTGAGGTGTGCGGGCCGAGCTCCTGGGATTTTCACAGTGTGGCCCAGTTCAAAAGCTCAGGATTCTACAAGTGAGGATGTGCATAACGCCATCTCCCTAATGGCCTCCTGGCTCCGTTTTAAAACCTGTGACATAAGTGACCCCATTTTTATTTCATCTTTCACACGACCTAGCAGTGGGTCTGAGAATCAAAAAAGCTGTTAAAAAAAAAAATGGAATGGAATAGAAGTAAATAGAAAATATAAGAATGCATCCCAGGTGAATATTTCAGGATAAACTTAGGTTTCTTGTATATGATAACGGGGTCAAAATATACAATTTAATAAACAGTGCATTTAGTTATAAGAACGCACTACTGGGTTTTGATCAGGGGAGTGGCATAGATTTGCATCGTATGGGTATGAGCATGCATGAAACGTGTGCTACTTCCTTGGGCAGAGTTGGAGAGAAGGGAATGGGCGTGGGCAAACCTGAGACCAGCAAACCAGGAGAGCATTGCAACCACCTCGAGGAAGAAGACAAAGTCTTGACCTGTTGGAGTAGCAGGTGTAGGAAGGCAGCACTTCAAGAGCTGGGCAGCGCTTGACTGTCAGTTGAGAATGATTTGTAAGGAAAGAGTTTCAGGGGATTATCACATCAGTGGGTGATTCAAATCACCAAGTGGAATTGAGGAAGCAAAGCAGGCCTAGGGACAGGTTGGCACTGCAGGGTTCAGATGGTGATAAACTGTATCTGTAAACTGTAGAAAGTTTTTTTTTCAGATTTTGTGGTACCTGTGTGCTCCGCAAGAGTGTGAGTCCAGAAAAATAGCTGGGTATGTGCACCTGAAGCTCTCAGTTAACTGGAAAGTCTAGGGTACCACCCACGGACAGACAGTTAGAAAAAAAACAAGAGAGAGAGAACCGTAGGTGTCTAAACTGGTGCTTAAGGAATGAGTGAGGAAAAGGGTCCCCTGACTTAGCTGAGAAATAATGGTTAAAGAAGCAGGAGAACCAGAAACCAGAGGGGCTCAGGGGAACCCCCAGTCACATCGATAAATAGAATCAGTAAGTAAGAGAGAACAGATGTCATTCGGCCATTGGCAGCATCTGCCATAGCAGCTTTAATGCATATGTGGATGGAAACATCCTATTTCTCTAGGTGTGAGGAGGAAATGGGGAGTCAGGAAAAGGAGGTGGTGATTATACATGACTTTGTCAAAACACGTGACTGGGTAGGAGAAGAGCTAGAGGTCTAGGTGGGAAGACAGCAAGTAGGGGGCTGCACCTGGTACTTGGTACATCCTGTGTTAAGCATCTAGATTGATGTGTGCACATGTCAGTATTCTTTATATTTTTGATAACTGTATCTGTAAACTGTACGAAGTTTCTTTTTCAGTTACTGAAATGAGGTTCAGTCATATTTTAAGCATGCTGCATAAGCTGTTATTACTTAATCAAAGTGATAAATATACCAAAAACTATTTGTGGAGTTCAACTAATCCCATTGATAAATGAGATAGAATTCCTGCCTTAAGAGTTCCTCCTCAAGTTTGGGGCAGCAGTTATATAGTCAGATAAATTATAATACTATATGATAAGCGAAACACCAGAAGAAGTATGTTAAAAAAAAGAAAATGATTTATTTTGTTTGGGGCTGATGTGGTCAGGGAAGGATTTATAGAGCCTGCAATTCATGTGAATTTTGAAGGATGAATAATTCAGTAAGTAGGCAGTTTTGGAGTTTAATTTTCCAGAAGAAGAGAATAGTTGCCTAAAGCCCAAAACTTCAGGTTGTGCTGGGGTCATTTAAGACAGCCCCTCCTTGCAGGAGCTGTTGATGTGTGTGATGTGTTTTTGTGCTTTGTGTCATTGCATGGGTGGGTGGGAGTTGGTGTGTCCGGGGTGAGTGTAGGTGTAGAGGGTAAGGGAGGGAGAGAGGGAGGCAGGAAGTGCTGCATCAGAATCTCTGACGCAGAGGATGCTCACTTAATTTGGAGAAACAAGCCACACAGGGTGCCTAGTCTTTGATTTTATGTTTACTATTGTATTTTGAAATGCTTGGCAATATAACATTATGGAGTTTTTAAGTTTCTCAAGGGATCATGGACTTAAAATATTAAGAAACACTTGTCTGTCCTTCAGTCTCAGTAATGGATGTGGCTGGGGATGAGGAGAGGGGGGAGGCAGGGCCGAGGTGGGAGAGCTTCCAGGTGGTGTGAGTAGGGTGCAGGGATTCATCAGACGTGCTGATAAAGCAGAGAGGAGACAACTCACTTTCGCTCAAGAGAGGAAGTGTGATCAAATCAAGAAGAGAGTTAATTTAGGCACTTAGAGTAAGTTTGGGTTTAGCTTTAGACTGACATATCAGTGTCCAAAGATATCCCCAGCTGAAACATCGCGAAGGCGGTTGGCTATGCGTCCCTCAAACTCAGGAGACACTTGGATGAGATGTACTTATTTGTGGGCAATTGCTTTATAATAAAAACCATTAAGACAAATAAAATAGCATAGGGAGGAGGTGTTAGGAGGAAGGGAGTATAGGGGTATTGCCAGTACTTAAACAAAGCACAGAGGAATTAAAATAAATTATGCAAATCATGCAGGCAACAAATTTGTTCCAGTTTTCCTGGAACATAAGAATGTCTTAGTGCTGAAATCCTATGTTCTGGGAATCCCCCTCAATCCTGAGAAAACTGGACAGTTGGTCACACTAGGACTGGTAGAGCTGGAGTTTGAAAGTAAAAATCCAGTAGAAGAGCATATAGCCAAGGAAAAACTGTTTAGACAAATAATATTTGTATGGCTGTAGA